CATGTATTTTTCTACAACATACTTTTTGTATCAGTGTGTCATTCATCTATGTTAATGCACATAATGATAGTTCATTAATTTTCATCATTACATAGAGACTATATGGGATTGTCCATGCTCCTGTGGTAAAACATGAATTGTTTCCAATTTTTTGCTATTGTAAATAACAGCACCATTAACTTTCCTATATAAGTCTCCTGCATGTGAGGTAGTTTCTCTACAAAATGTATCTAATAGTGGAAATGCTGAGTCATGGGGTGTGAGCACCATCAACTTTACTAGATGATACCAAATTGTTTTCCAAAGTGCTTATATGGATTTACACTGCTGCTACCACTTTTCTACATTCTTATGATACTTTTTAGCCTTTGCAAATCTGTGAGTATAAAATTGTATCTCATTTAATTCTCTTTTCTATTATTACAAATTAGGTCAGGAATCTTTTCACAGGTTTGTTGGTCATTGTGGTTTTTTTCCTCTTCTTGGAAATATATATTCATATGCTATAACCACAGAAGAGAGTGTAAAACATAGGCACAATTTAAAGTATAGTTATAAAGCAGACTCTTGTGTAACTACAATTCAGGTAAAATTCAAAACGTTTCTAACTTTCCAGAAGCTCCCACATGTTCACTCCCAATCTTTCCTCATTCATCCTTCCAGCGGTAACAATTCTCATGGCTTTTATGTTAATAATTTTCTTGCTATTTTATCACTCATATATGTACTCCTAATCAGTAGAACTTAGTGGTGTCTATGAATAAATATTAGAAAAATGGAATTGTACCGTATGCATCTTTTATGTCTTATTTTTCACATTACACGCTTGTAAATATTTTCACATGTAACGCCAATTCAATCCTATTTAATGCTGTATAGGATTTCACAGAAGAAATATACCATAGTTACTTCCTCCATTCCATTCTTTTTAGACATTTTGGTTATTTCTAGCTTTAGCTATTTCAATCCTATATGAATTTTTTTTTTTTTTTTTGGCTGCACCGTGCAGGATCTTGGTTCCCTGACCAGGGGTCGAACTCATGCCCCCTACATTGGGAGTGCACAGTCTTAACCACTGCACCACCAGGGAAGTCCATCAGTCCTATATGAACTTTTGATCTTTGCCAGTCTTATAAGAATAAAAAATGGCATATCAGTTTTGGTTTAATTAGCAGTTTTCATACTTGAAGGTGAAGTCTTTACATATGTTTAAGGACCATTTACAGCTCACTTTCTGTAAATTTTACGTTCATATTTGTATTTGTACTCTTTGCTTATTATCTGTTGGATTCTTGGTCATTTTCAAATTGATTTATATTGTCATTGTCTGTGATATGAGTTGGCAATATTATTTTTCTGTTTTTGGTCCTTTGACCTTGCAGTTTTTGTCATGGAGGAGAACTAATTTAATAAAATAAAAATATTTCCTCTGGGTTGTATATCAATATTGGGAATGCTTCTGACTTGGGGTATTATGAATTGGCACTTTTATTGCTACTTGCTTTTTTTTTTTTTTTTTTTTTTGCGGTACGCGGCCCTCTCACTGTTGTGGCCTCTCCCGTTGCAGAGCACAGGCTCCGGACGCGCAGGCTCAGCAGCCATGGCTCACAGGCCCAGCCGCTCCACGGCATGTGGGATCTTCCCAGACTGGGACATGAACCCGTGTCCCCTGCATCAGCAGGCAGACTCTCAACCACTGCGCCACCAGGGAAGCCCACTACTTGCTTTTTTTATCAAGTTCATTGTTACTTTTGTGCCCTCCCTAGAACTTACAAATACACAGGTTCAGGATATCTATGGCTATTTCCCTAGCTATCATGTGTAGCTCTAGAGTCCTGAATAAGATATACTCTTAGGCAACTGCACTCCATTTCTCTGATATTTAAACACATCACAGCATTCTTGGAGAAATTCTTCTCCTAATGGCATGGTTTATCTGAATTAAAGGAAAGAATAACCACAATTTCCTCAAAAGTCTAAATATTGTTAATAAATATTCTATGAACTGAAAAATAATCTACAAAAAGCATCAAGTAATAAGACAGTAATTCCCCTCTCATTTGACATGATTGGGATAGGCAATTAGCCAATTAATCAAAAAAAGAGGGGGTTATCATTTAAAAAGATATATCATTTAGACGTATTTAAAAATAACTTTATTTTGAAATAATTTCAAACAAGAATAGGAACTTCAAGCATAGTACAGGGAACTCCCATGTATATCATTAACTTAATCACTACAACATATTTTTTCAATATATAGGCCCTCAAACATAAGTAGCTAATCTTGTTGTTATTATAGTCATTCATTTAATTTTTCAGATTCCACATATACGTGATAATATATGGTATTGAAAGACAGTATTTGTCTTTCTCTGTCTGACTTATTTCACGTAGCATAATACCCTTCAGTTTCATCCATATTGTTGCAAATGGCAAATTTTATTATTTTTTATGGCTGAGTAGTATTCCACTGTGTGTGTGTGTGTGTGTGTGTGTGTGTGTGTGTGTGTGTGTATGTAAATATAAATATATGGGTCATTTAGACTTTTAAGCCTAATGTATATACACATATATATATTCATATATATGTGTATATATATGAATGTACAGTCATTGAACAACATTTTGACTCATCACCAAGGACTTTCTTTTGAACATTGCTTGACAGATTAAAATTCGGTCATCTAACTGCAAATACCACACTCCTACAATAGCATCAACATTTCCCTGTTTGATTTATTCTTAAAGTGTGTGTGTGTGTGTGTGTGTGTGTGTGTGTGTGTGTGTGTTTTAAGCACTCTTAAGTGCCAGCCTCTTGTAGAATTTTCAACTTTATTCCAATCATTTATTCCTCATTCAAAAGCATTTATTCTATGCATGTGTTAAAGACTGGCCCACTGGCTATGATCATGCAAGATTATGTAGGCATCTATCAATGTGCAATGTAGTAAGAATGAAGAATGATGGTTAATTCAGTGACTTGGTTAAATGGAATTAAATTAAGTACACTTCAATTGTATCTGCCCTGGAGAGTGATGGTTAATTCAGTGAGTTGATTAAGTGGAGATAGATTAAAACAGTTTAAATCACACCTGCCATTTTTACCTTTTTTAGGAGTGACAGACATATTTTCAAATCTTTTAGTTTCTCGATCTTTCGTTTTTTTAAAGGCACTTTGTAACAATGTGAAGTTATAGATATAATCTTGTTCTGGAAAGTGGATTTAAAATGATGTTGGCCAAAAACAAATCTGAGAAAATGGTAAAATACTTCTCCCCTTATACAATTGGCACTACTTGATTTAGGATGAGTTTTTCTAAAATATTTTCTGGTCTTTAGATGACCTTTAGCTATAGACCAGCTGACAAGTTGACAGGAAGGTTCAGGTTCCTTAATTAGGCACGTCACATTTCACTTGCTTTTGGTCTCACCTGGAAATCTGAGAAAATACCACCTCAGGGACAGGTGTAGGCCACTGAGTCCACTGAAAGATATATACCAGAAAGCAAGTGCCATTTGATATCTGTAAACATGATCATCGTCATCCTCTTTATCATCATCAGAGCTATCAGTTACTGAGCATACACTGTATGTCTGGCACTGTCCCCTGTGTTTTATTTTTTAAAAACCTGTAAGAACACTGGAAGGTGTAAATTATTGTTCATATTTTGCAGATGGGGGAAAGCTGAGTCAGGTATCATTTCATGAAAGGCAGACACTTAACATTTGAAAACAAGGTTAATAATGGTCTTGTCTAACTCTTTCCCATTCAGTAGAAACTTTTTCACCAACATACCCTCTGTTAGTCAAAAATCTGGTTTAAAGTAACAGAAATCAACTTGAGTCAGCTTAATCAAAAAATAAGAATTAATGTATGGGATATAAATTCATTTCATGAATCAGAGTAACCAGTCAGATGTCAGGTAGGGACTAATATCAGCAATTGGAAAGTCAGCAGAAATCCAATCTCTGTCTCATGTCCTTTTTGCATTATTTTGCTTCATTCTCATACCATCTCCTACCCCCTCTCTGTCCTGGAACCTCATGAGTTAAATGGCTATAGTTCCAGCCACATACAGAAATTGGATCCTACTTTCTAATTCCCTGGAAGGAGAATCTGAATCTGATTGGCCCAGCTTATGACATGTCAGCTGTTCACTATTGATAAATCAGTGGGGGTGGGGAGAAAGGTTACACATTACTAACATAATAGGAGGGTGCATCTCATCCCTGGAAAGGCAGGGGCAATTCTCATAAAAGAGGTCTAGCAAAGACTGCTAGTAGCTCACAATATAGATAAAAATCTATATTTTCTTCTTGGAACACCATTGGACTATATGTCTCCGTCTACTTTATAGCTGAGTATAGCAGAGTGACTGAGTTTTCGTCATAGAGTGACTGAAAATGACGTGCCAATTTAAGACACAGGCCCTTATAAAACTTATATATGTTTCCTTCCTTTTAGGGCTGACTGGAATAGGGTGACCTTGGAAGCTATATTTTTAAGTTAGCAGAACTTCTGCAGCCTGGATTTCTAATTGACTAGGTGGAATAGGGCTGCTTTGCCAAACTTCCCAAACTACTCACTAGTGTTACTTGGAAGAAATAAACTTTTAGCATATTTAAGTAATGCATTTTGGGGTCTAACTTTTATACCAGCAAGTAGGTCTTTCCTAACTCATACCATAGGAGAGGCTCATGGGCTGAAAAGATAACCCAGTAGATATTTTCTATACACCTCCACCGTGAAGAATGAAACAGGACTCACAGGAGAACTATGAATAAACTGCAAAAATAAAATTTCCTTGAAGCCACCTATTTAATCTCAAATACTTATTTTATCATTCTATACAATGACTTTGTATGCACATCACTAACTGTAATCATGATTATAGTTGAAATCCTATATTATCCATTGCTTAGATTCATTTTGCTTGGTTCACTCTTAATCATATATTGAGGGGATAGAATCTAGTTGTTTTTCTTTTCTCCTTTAGGGAATACTTTCCAGAGACAACTCATGGTCAAAATATATATGAGATTGTTCTAAAACAGTGAGTATATATTTTTGTATATAATTCTATACGTAACAATAGAAATTCCAAGTTAATTCAGCACAGACATTGTCCCAAAGGGGATTACTGTCTACTTGAGCAAAAGAGACAGCACTACAATGATTAAAGAGCAATATAAAGTTTTTTAAGTGGCACTATATCCCACTTTATTAAAATAAATACCTTTTTAGATTAATATGTTACATGTATTTTATATATACAGTATATATAATGTATATACATATATAATATATATACAGTATATATAATGTATATACATATATCATATTTATACATATATATACACACACACACACACACACAAATACATATATCTCAAAAATGACTGGAGAATTAGTCTTCCAAATATTAATAGTGTTATGTCATTGTGATGGGATTACAAGTAATATTTAATGTTTTTTTTTTCTGTTCTCTATTTTCTATTCTCTAGTCATCTTTTATATTCTCTATTTTTCTTCTTTAACAAATTCATATTATGTATATAATAAAGAAGATTTTAATGGAAAAATATGTGAGCAAGGAGGGGATTTCTGTTCATTGCCTATGAGTTAATTTTAAAGTATTTTAAAAAGAGAGGTCAAGGAAAATATCAAGAGGCAGGCTGTGTTTATTTTGCAATAGAGAGAAGGGGTAAAGGGAGATAAGAAGGAAATTAATGGAACAACCACACCTAAGAACTCTTTAAATATTTGGACAAGGACTACAATCTGTGAGAAGTTATTACATTCATGAATACATATTAAGATTTTAATACTGGGTTAACTTAAAAGATAGTTTATTCTCTGGGAGCTGAGGTTCTTTTTACAAGTCACATGGATCTTTTGTATAATACTCTGGCCCATGAGAGGGCAGACCACCACACATAAAGAAATTTAACTTGACCTTTTAAAGAAATAACACCTATGGCATGACCAAGACCTTACAAAAGGAAATGGCAACTCATCCTCAAAATATGTGTTGTTCTTTTCTCTCAATATTTTCCATTCCCATTTGTAGTCATCTTCAAACACAGATGCTCTGTTCTGAATAAATTATTACTGTAATAACTTTGGTGCCATGATTATTCTTCCTAAAAGGTTTGCATTTATTCTTAGATTAGATCTTTTCTTCTTAGTAGTGAATCCCTTTTAAAACGAAAGTTTGCTGCTTCATATAAGGGAAACAAACAAAAAGAAATAACTGTAGAAATTATACTTTTAAGTCATATACTTTTAGGCAAGCAATGAAATGAATGCCAAAGTTGTTTATTTAAAAGAGAGGGAATGATTGTATGAACATGAATAATCTATAGTACACTGAAATTAAACTCCTTGTAGAGAAAAGTTAAACCTATCTCCAAACTATATAATGATTTAATATTATTAAATATATGTTTTAACATTTGAGACAATTTATTTGTTTTAAAAAAATTTAACAGGTGAATTATCACCATGTTAAATTTTTTGAAAGTACCAAATGACTTCATTAAATGTAGCACAGATGAGAACTTGAATATAAAATGGTTTAGTAAATATATCCTATTATATTTTGAGTGCTTCACTAAGAATTCATCATAATCTATTGTGTCCTTTTACCATCTGGTTTAAACAGTGTTTGAGGCCAAACCCTAAAGTACAAAATGTCAGGTTGATATTTAAAATAAGTTCAACGTTTTAAAAGTTATCCAAAAACTTATTTGCCTTTGCTTTTCTCATTCTCTGTTTAATGAACTGATATTAAAATAAGGGTTTATCTTTATTAAGATAAGAGCTTAAAAATTACAAACAAATTAACATAGAACTAAAGTCTGAAATTAATAGGAATTGAAGGAAGACACGCCTTCAGGACATTTATTTTTCCAGAGTTTTAGTATCTACTCTTCTGCCAGAAGATACTAAACTAGTAACTGAACAAATTACTCCAAAAGTTTTAGGTTGTATTATGGTAATTTTCAAAACAATGAAAAAATTTATAGGAACAAGTTAATATTCTCCTAAGCCCCAAAGAGATTAAAAATGTGTTGACATATTTAGTTAGGTCATAAAGCTTTAAGTCAGTGATTACATTGACTGAAACTGTTATTTCCCAAAGATTGGATAAAAATGACTCTCACTCATTATACTCCAGAATCATTACTTATATCTCTTATTTTATGTTATATTAGACAGTTTTTTAAAATCTCATATCCACATGATTTCATGCTTGAAAAACATTTCTGAGATGGGAATTTTTTAAATAAATAGGATTAACTTTGAACTTCAAATAGGAAAAATAAGCCTCAATTCAGCTGTTCTCCACCTCTGGGTGTGGTTCAGAAGTCACAAAAAAGTACAGCCAGCTCAAAATGCTTGATTTATGACCCGTTTCATTGGGTTTTGGTGACTTATTTAAAGCATAAACCAAATCCTTTCATTATCTTTTCATGTAGTTTGATAACTTTAGCAATAAAAAGGTGGACATGTATACTAAGGTGGTCTGAGAATGCTTATTAGCAGGAAACAAAGAAAACTAAATACCTAGTTACCAAGATTTACAGCTGATGAGTTTATTTAGCCAGTCTAAAATGTTTGGCTTTTTACATTTATTCATATATTTGGGAACTAGATGGCCTTCCCCCTGTCCTGCCTCCACAGAAATTAAAACATGTCACCCGTTATAGATTTTTAATCTTCCTACATTTATCAGCAATTTATCAAACATTTATCAAACAATTATACCATTTAAAGTCTGAAGGAATCTTAAAGTTCCTTTCTCTAATTTTGCAGATAGGAAACTAATGTCCTGGGAGAATGCAAAATTTCATTCTGTGGGCTGAACCAAGAATTTTTCATATTAAAATCAGACACACTTAAATCATAGTCATTTGTTTAGTAATAAAGAATTCAAAGAAACTCAGTGTGAGCACTGTCACAAGGACGAATGATCAGGCCATAGGAAGGCAGACATGGTTAGCCAGTCCATTAGCCATCTGGTTACCCGCAGGTCCCACGCATGACCAGCCACATTCCCCAAGCTTGAGACATGTCTTGTTTCATGATGAAAGAGGAGCTGTGAGTCTAACCGTTGAGGAAATTGTGGAGAAGAGCTATGCTCAGGTACCTGTATTGGGAGTCCTACCCAAGTGTTATCTGATAGAAATGTAATCTGAGTCATGAATAGAATTTTAAATTCCTACTAGCCTCATTACAAAAAAGTAGAAACAGGTGAAAATATTTTTGTTTTAATTTTTATTGGAGTATAGTTGATTTACAATGTTTTGTTAGTTTCTGCTGTACAGCAAAGTGAATCAGTTATACATATACAAATATCCATGCTTTTTTAGATTCTTTTCCCATGTAGGTCATTACAGAGTATTGAGTTCCCTGTGCTATACAGGAAGTCCTTATTAGTCATCTATTTTATATATAGTAGAGTGTATATGTCAGTCCCAATCTCCCAATATCCCTCCCCGGCCACTTGAAAATATGTTTAAAAATATATTTTGTTTAACCCAGTACATCCAAAATATCATTATTTCAGCATGCAATTATAAAAAATTGTTAATAAAATATTTTACATTATTTTTTTCCATATTATCTTTAAACCTAGGGCGTATTTTACACTCACAGCTCATCTCCATTCAGACTAGTGGCTAGCGTAATAGCCAGTTTGACACCAACCCTCCCTCCTTCACTTACCTGTACAAACTCTAAATAAAAAGAACCAATTAAATAATTATGAAATTCAAGAATTGTTTAACATGATAAATACAAATAAGCTGATGGTCAGTTTTTGTTTTTGTTTTTTGCGGTACGCGGGCCTCTCACTGCTGTGGGCTCTCCCGTTGCGGAGCACAGGCTCTGGACGCGCAGGCGCAGCGACCATGGCTCACGGGCCCAGCTGCTCCACGGCATGTGGGATCTTCCCGGACCGGGGCACGAAGCCATGTCCCCTGCATCGTCAGGCGGACTCTCAACCACTGCGCCACCAGGGAAGCCCTGATGGTCAGTTTTTAGGCCACTAGATTACAGTAGTTTCGTGTGCCTAAGTTCTAAAGCCAAATTGCTTAGGTTCAAAACCTCCTCGCTCTGCACTCATTATTACATGTCCTTGGGCACCTAGTTAACCTCCTTGTGCTTTGGTTTCTTCGTCTACAAAATAGCAGAAATAGAATATTACCTCCCCATAGGGTTACTGTGGGATTAAGTAAGTCAGTATGCCTAAAAGCAAACAGAAGAGTGCTGGGAAATGTAAGTATTCTGCAGATGTTGGCAACAATTATTATTATTACTTCTTTAGAACAATGATTTTCAAAGTGTATTCCATGGACCATCAGCATCAGCATTACCTGCAAACTTGTTACAAATGCAGAGCTACTGCTTGAGAATCTTCATTTTAATGAGATTCCCAGATGATTCATATGCACATTAAAATATGGGAAGGAATGTCCTAGAGGTTAAGAAGACAGATTATAAAAATGACACATATGACATCTGGGAATTATAGTTAATGCTTCAATTTTCAAAGAGAAAAACTGGTTTATTAGTCAGGGCTCTCCAGAGAAATAGAACCAATAGGAGAGAAAGAAAGAGATTGATTTATTAAAAGGTATTGGCTCATGTGAGTGATTATGGAGGCTGAGAAGTCCCACAGTCAGCCCTCTGCAAGCTGGAGACCCAGGAAAGTGGGTGGTGTAGTTGGAAGTTCTGAAAGCCTGAAATCCAGTGGTGTCGATTCCAACCCAGGTCTGAAAGTCTGCAGCAAGGGCAGAAGACTGATGTCCCAACTCAAGCAGTGAGGCCGAGTCAGAGACAGACACAAAGGCAGAGCATATCCACCCTTCTCCCACCTTTTGGTTCTACTCAGGCCTTCCCACATTGGGGAGGTCAATCTGCTTTACTCAGTCTACCAATTCAAATGCTAATCTCTCCTTGAAACACCCTCACAAATACATCCAGCAAAAATGTTTAACCAGCTATCTGGGCATCCCATGATCCAGTCAAGTTGACACATCAATTAAC